TCTTCCATCGAGCGTCGGCCTGAAACTCCCAAGAGATCACGGCGTACTTGGATAGTTCGCTGCCCACTCACTCTTTGCGACGGTGACAACACGTCTCTGAGCGTGCTTATCGCGCTTCTCGTGCAGAACTTCCAGTACCCTACACTACGAGGCTCAGGTACTGCGGTATTCGATCGCCAGGACACCGAGTAAATGTTAGGGTATATTATGTTGTTTATTTATCGTAAATGAAAAGGGCGTTAGTTATGCTGCTCATTTGTGCATAACGATCATGACATTGAAAACGTAGTTCAGGTTAGGTTATGTTGGGTTTAGTGGCGCAAAAGCAACTAAGGCTATGCTGCGCCAGCCACATGGTGAAAAAAAAGGAGAGAAAAAAGAGCAAAAGAAAACGTCACTAGTTAGCTCGGCATACATTGTGCTGTGAAAGTCTGATTGAAAAACTATTTTCTCTGAGGGAGTAAATCCGTCAGTCAGGGGAAAATGTGCTTCGTCGTCCAGGTGATTTTTCCTTTACAATGGTCATGACTATGAATGCGCGGTTGACGATGACTAATGGAATAAAATGAATAATGTTGTGCGGCTGTATAGAGACCTAAAACCAATCGCGTAATGTGTATACTTTTAAAATTATGGACATGGTACATGGCGTGGTCAATGGGTATGGTATGTGCGTGAGGTGATTTTGTCAAAAAATGTGAGGGGATCGCTCCAGCACTCCCGCCTCACCTGTGTCCTTGTGCGCAAGGACCAGGAGGTAAGTGCTGTGTTCAAAAGAAGCTGTCACAGCACTGACCTCTCGCAAGAGGCCGTGCTGTGGCCACACAGGTTCGTGAATCTTGCAGATCTGTACCGTACAAATACGATGGCGTGCTTCTTATAACTTATTTAGAAATTTGGTGTCATCCAGGAAGTTGACAACGTCAGTTAGGGGTATCAGCGCGTCATCTCCTAGAAGGAACATGGGGTGACGTGGAATGCGTAACTTGTACAAGGTGTAAAAATGTTTTCTTCGATGTGCTTCCAAATGTGCGCATGTAAGCAAGATGTGCAACACTGTTAGAGGTTCATCGCATTTATCACATGTTGGCTGTTTTTCTTGTTTTAACAAGTAATTATGAGTGATGTGCGTGTGACCAATTCGAAGACGGCACAGGATTACTTCGATAAAACGTTCTTGGTGGTAACATGACTTCCATTCATTTAGGAATGGCTTGATTAGTTGAAGTTTGTTGTTGACTGTCATATTCCATTCCCGTTGCCATTTAGATGTTAGCGCTGTACGGATTGCGCGGATACTATCCCTAACGGGAACATTTACTTGCGAGATACTTAAGTTCTTTGCTGCTGCTGCGCACTGATCTGCCCTTTCATTTCCGGGTATCCCGACGTGACTTGGGACCCAGCAGAACCGGATATTTTGTCCTTCACTTAGACGCGATAATACGCTTAAAATGTCGCCGATGAAGGGTTCGTATTGAGAGCGTATATGGAGGGCCTTCAATGCACTCAAGGAATCCGTAAAAAGTATTGCTTTCTTGTATCTAGCACTTTCAATTCTTTTTACTGCCATCCACAAGGCATAACATTCAGCAGTAAAAACTGAAACAAACCGTGGTAATCTGACTGTTTCTTCCCACGCACCTTGGACTACACTGCTACTGACATAACTAGCCGTTTTGGAGCCATCAGTGTAAAATTCTTTGTATGTGCTGTACCTTTCTTGAACGATGCGAAATTCTTGCAATATGTGTTCACGTGGTGTACCTTGTTTTTTGAGATGTGTCAATGAGAGGTCAAGAAATTGCGTAAAGTTTTTCCAGGGAGGCAGCCTTCTTGGCCTTTTAGTAACAGAAAGGGCATCTGTAGGGACGTTACACTCGCGACATTTTTCTTCGAATCTGAGTATAAGTGGCCTTATTGCGTTTGGTTTGTTTGTGTAATGGAGTCGTTTGTCACAGTGTGTGATAATGTTGTAGCATATATGGTTTGGCGATGAGCGAACTCTTAGGACATATGTAAGCATTAGCTGCGTTCGTCTGCTGTCCAGTGCCGGTTCGTTACTCTCGGAGTACAAGCTGGGAAGCGGCGAGGTCCGGTATGCACCGGTTGCCAAGCGTATCCCTTTGTTATGTACGGGGTCGAGTCTCTTGAGGTAGGATTGTCTCGCTGAACCGTAAACTACACTTCCATAATCTAATTTGCTACGCACCAATGAACGATATATGTGCAGAAGGCACTTACGGTCAGCGCCCCACCGCTTCCGCGACAGAACTTTGAGGACATTGAGTGCCCTAGTCGCTTTAATTTTTAGACTGGTAATGTGTGATAGAAAGTTAAGTTTCTTGTCAAATATGACTCCTAGAAACTTGTGCTCTTGTTTAACTGGTAGGACTGTTGCATTCAGTTCAAGAATTGGGTCCGGCTGCAAGCCTCTTTTCTGAGAATACACTACGGCAACTGTCTTTTCCCCGGAGAAACAGAAGCCGTTTTTCTCCGCCCATTGTGTTAGTTTGTTCAACGTGATTTGAGTCTGTCGTTGACATGTCACCATGTTAGACGCGCGGCACGCAATCTGGAGGTCATCAACGTACAGAGAATGCATCAGTGTGGATGGTATAACTTTGTTTACAGAGTTCATTTTCACAACAAAAAGTGTAGTGCTCAGAACGCACCCCTGAGGTACACCGTTTTCTTGAGTAAATACACGAGAGAGTGTCACGCCAAGGCGGACCTGGAAGGTTCGGTTGGACAAGAAGTCGGAGAGACAGTTAAGCATTCTGCCGCGGATTCCCAGATCCGCCAAGTCTCGTAAAATACCATACCTCCAAGTGGTGTCGTAGGCTTTTTGAAGATCAAAAAAGACTGCTAGGCAGTGTTGTTTGTGTAAGAAAGCTTCTCGTATTGTGTTTTCCAGCCGAACTAGGTGGTCAATTGTTGAACAACCTTTTTTGTACCCACATTGGTGGATATCTAGTGAGTTTTCTGTTTCGAGGACGTACGTAAGCCTGATGTTAATGACACTCTCGTAAGTTTTTGCAAGACAACTTGTAAGTGCGATTGGCCTATAGCTGTTTGCTAATGTAGAATCTTTTCCCGTTTTTAGGAATGGGATTATAATGGCCTTCTTCCAATCCGTGGGCATTCGACCAGTTTGCCAAATAACGTTGAAGAAAAACAGAAGGGCCTCGACTGTTTTTGGCGACAGGTGGGCGAGCATTGCATAGTGTATTGTGTCAGGACCAGGCGCTGTTTTTTTACCTGTGGAAAGTACTGTGTTCAGTTCATGGATGGTTAAAGGCGCATTGTATGGCAAGTCTAAGAAACCTGCTGTAGGAAGCTTTTGTTTTTCTATAGATTGCTTGTGCCTTAGGAACGTTTCTGAATAGTTTGCTGAGCTAGATATGTTGTAAAAGTGAAGCCCTAATAGGTCTGCCTGTTCCTGTAGGGATGTCTGAGTACCTGTTGTTGAAAGAAAGGGGATGGTATAGGCAGCGTAGTTGCCATTAAACTTGCGAACCTGATCCCACATTCTTTTGGATGTGACCGAGCTGTTTATGGATGAAACGTAGTTTTGCCAGGAGATTTTCTCGGCTTGCCTACGAACATATCTAGCTTTCGCTTTCGCCTTTTTGAAGGAGATGAGGTTATCGTACGTCGGGTACCTCCGAAAGATACCCCAGGCTTTATTTTGGAGTTTTTTGGCTTCTGTACATTCGTGCGTCCACCAGGGCTTCAAATTCTTTTTTAAGCAACCAGAAGACTGAGGGATAGCTCTCTTTGCTGCCGCGATTATACACGTTGTAATCCTTTGATTCATTTCATCTACGCTCAGATTATCTAGACTCTCTTTATCCAGACTGGCTTGATCGGTAAAGAGAGCCCAGTCTGCCAAATGAAGTCGCCAGCGGGGTGGTCTGGAGGGTATGGTAGGAAGTGCTGTGGTTAGACTGATGAGTGCAGGCATGTGGTCACTACCGTATGGATTATCTATTACCTTCCATTTAAAATCTGTGAACAGCGCTGGAGAGCATAGCGCAAGGTCCAGGCAGCTCATAGCTCCTGAACTTGGGGAGCAGTAAGTGGCAGCGCCAGAATTTAAAAGACAAACATCGTTGGCTAAAATAAAATCTTCAAGTGTTTGTCCTCTAGAGTCAACTGTTTTACTACCCCAAAGCGTGTTATGTGCATTAAAATCGCCTGCTATCACAAAAGGTTCGGGTAGTTGGTCTAAAATTAATTCTAAATCGCTTACGGTGAATTGCGTGTGCGGTGGAATGTAGAGGGAACAGACGGTGATGGTTTTGTGCGCTACAATGGTAACGGCGGCGGCCTCTATATGACTATTAATATGAATTTCTCTCACTGCTATACCACCTTTAACAACAACAGCCACACCGCCCGACAGTCGGCTTGCCTGCGTACGATCGCGCCGCACAACAGTGAAGCCTTTTAGGATGTTTTGATATCGATCACCTAGGTTGGTTTCCTGAAGGCACAAGGCTACAGGAGAAAAGTCGTGTAGTATTTCCTTTACGTCACCAAAATTGTTTAAAAGCCCTCTACAGTTCCAATGAATTATAAAAGCCATGTTGAATGTAAAAGTTTAAAAATCGAAGGACAAGTGAGTAGGATATAGTAGAATGGAGGTGACTTGCTTCTAAAAGAACTAAAAAATGCGAGTTCCAAAATGGTGCAGGTTCACTTATTTTACAGGGCCCTTTTCTGGCCCTGTAATTGGGGTTTTGCTTTTTTTGGAGCGGTCGAGAGTGTCTCGCCGCTCCTTAGGCGCTGCCTGCACCGCTGGGCCAGAAGTAGTGTCCACCGCCTCGTGCAAGACGTCGGACAGTTGCTCTAGCGAGCGATGATGGCGTTGTGTTGGCTTCGTCTTGGCAGACGAGGCCTTTGACCCCACCAGAGAAGAGGTCGGCAGGACCTCTTTGGCCTCTGAGCTGTCCCGGCTGGTGCCAGGTCTAGGAGAGGCCTCCAGTGTGGCCACGTTAGGGGAGGGTAGGGCAGCCGTGGCTGCTCCCACCGTGGGGGCGAGGGGCGGTCGCCTCAGCGCACTGCGCGTGGCCTGGACGGCCGCCTGATGCCGTTGTGGTGCTGGCCCCCGTTGCACCACTTCGGCGAATGATGACTTCTTTAGCAAGGTACGGTGAGAGACGCTGTCTGGCTTCGCGGAAGCTTATGTTTTCCTTATATTTGATAGTGATGACCTCCTTCTCTTGTCTCCAAGCTGTGCAGGATCTCGAGTACGCCGGGTGGTCACCATCACAATTTGCACAGTGAGCTTCAGCATTGCAGTTGTCATCAGCAGAGTGTCCCGTAGCGCTGCACTTAGCACAAGTAAGCTGCCCTCGGCAGCTCTGTGATGCATGGCCAAACCTTTGGCACTTGAAGCAGCGCCTTGGGTTCGGAATGTATGGTCTGACGTGCAACTTCAAGTAGCCTGTTTCTATTTCGTCTGGGAGTGTGCTAGAGTTGAAGGTGACGATTATGTGCCTAGTGAGTATTTCCCTGTTGTCTCGTCTGATTTTTATTCGTTGTACCTGTACAACATTCTCATCCTTCCAGCCGGCCAGGAGTTCATCATCAGTAAGGTCCATGAGGTCATCGTCTGACACGACACCCTTCACCGTATTCATTGTTCTGTGGGCGGTGACAGTTATCGGTTGGTCCCCAAACGCTACAAGGTTCGTCAATTTTTGATATTGCGACTTATCTTTAACTTCAACCAGCAGGTCCCCACTGGCCATCTTCGTGGCTTTGTAGCCGCTTCCGATGGTCTCAGTGAGACACCTTGACACTAGGAAAGGTGAAATGTTACGGACTTTTTTGTCGGTGTTCTCACAGTGGATGACGTGATACTTGGGGAAGGTGTCTTTCTTTTTCTGGAGGATTTCAGCGGTTGCATCGGTGCGCCCCCGCTTCGGGGGACGATCATTTGCGAAAATGTTGGACGATCCCATTAAATGAGTACATTGTTCGGCAACAATGCCAGTCACCCACCACCGAGCCCAACAAGGGGACACGGCAGAGGTTGTGATGGAGCAAGCCCTGCCATGCCAACTGTACATCGTTGCTATAACCAAATATGGTGTACCCAAGGTAGGACCACCACACAAGGTTAACCCTCGCCGCCAGGAAAATTGGAAGTAAATAGAAGAGAGTAGAAGACAGGACAGATAGATAGCGAGAGATAAAGACGAAGATGTAGGCAGAGAGAGATAGGAAAAGGCGACTGCCGATTTCCCCTGGGTGGGTCAGCCCAGGGGTGCCGTCTACGTGAAGCCGGGGCCAAAGGGGTGTGTTGCCTCTGCCGGGGGGCCTTAAAGGTCCAATCACCCGGCGTCGGCTCAACCCCCAGGATCCCCTTTTCCCCGGACACGGCAAAGCCACGCACGGCTAGGCGTGGGAGGGAGTCGAAACTCCCCCGTTAGCTCGGGTCCGTGGTGTCGCTACACACCAAACGCCTACTTGCGCAGGCGCCCCTGCGGGGAAAACGTAGTTCAATAAGATGACAACTCTATGAACAAAAAGGACTAGCACTGAATACCGACAAATGCGTTTATCTTTGTTTCACAGATATATACGCACTCTGTACAGAGGAAAGACAGAAAGCAAAGGGAAATACATTTTTTGCTCATGCACAGCTGCCGTAACTGGTCAAGGAAGGATACCATTCTAACAATCTTGGAAATAAATCTGAAAGAAATTTGTGAATACAGTGTACTAAGTGCGGTTGCACCAGTATTATTTAAAACACGCATTGTGCACTAGTTCCGTAATAGCTACTGCTTCTATTTCTATGAATATTTTGCCACAAATGTTGCAGGTCATTCATGCATCAACTTTCCATAAATCTCTTTAACAAAGAAATTGATTATCAATGCCGTTAAAACTGCCGCGTTATGTGAGATATAGGGGTTACCATGCATAAGTCATAAAAATGTCTTTCCTTTTCCCAATCTATGTTCCCTTACTATAATTGATTGATGTGTGAAGTTAGCGTTCCAAAATCACCATATAATTATGAGAGACGCCGTAGTGGAGGGCTCCGGAAATGACAACTACCTGGGGCTCTGTAACGTGCACCCAAATCTCAGCATACGGGCCTACAACATTTCCGCCTCCATCGAAAATGCAGCCGCCACAGCCGGGATTCAATCCCGCGACCTGCGGGTCAGCAGCCGAGTACCTTAGCCACTAGAGCACCGCGGCGAGCCCTTACAATAATGCATATATATTTGTGCAGGACGACAAACGCACCAGTTGGTAGTGAGCGCCATCTTGTTTGGTGTTTCTTGTCTTCATTTTATCGCGCCATCACTTCTATGCTAGAAAACGAACAAGCTGAACTCATAGAGACTATGGCAGATTGTTTAAAGAGGAAGCTTCGGGATTAGCGCCCACCCGATCTTCTCTTGAACTATATTTTCGCAACAAATATTTTCTTTATTTATTCAGTGAAATGAATAAAAGGCTGTTGTTTTACATCAGCTATATATTAGGGTACATGATGACACAATACGTAGTACACATTTCTTCTTTCTAATGTAAACAAAACTTCGCTTCGCACTTTGATACCATGACTCATAACAATAAATACAACAATGTTCCTTTTATTGTACTGAATATAGTCAGCGTCATATTAATCAAAATGGTGCAACACCTTGGAAACAGTTCACTCTACCCAAATAATTGGTTGTAGCTTATAGAAAACTCACGTCGGAACTGTCTGTAAGAGGAAATTCAAGCCAATCCTGAAGTTGCAAATTCTGCTTAAGAAGACGGACTATATGTGGCAAAATGTATTCAAGACCGAAAACCATTACGAGCCTGTGCAAACCTTCCTGATGCTGCGCTTGCTTTAGCGTTACTACACGCCTTAGTTTTACGGCGGCATAGCGACAATGGCCCACAGGCGTAGACATTCACTTAGCGTCTTTTTATGACCTCTCAGGGGTTGCCTAATGGTGCGCTACCATAATTTTGTCTCCCGTCCCCCTCAACAAAAGCGGAACGTGGGCTCAGCAAAAGGATAAAATGAAAGTTGGTATGTTTGGTTATCTTTAGGCGAATGCTGTCATTTTGTGTTTGCTTGATAGCTGTGTTTCACACATTGAGCTCTCAATAGTTCAAGTGCTACTTTCTTAATCTTTCTTCTATACTAGAAGATATGTGAGCGTGCCATTTCAAACTTCCTTTCATATTCTAGTTATCAAGCTCCTTCAACGCTTTCCGTGGACGAGCCTGCTTTTCTTCCCGTTCCTGTTTTCCTTCATTGTTTACTATGTGTAAATGTGTTACGTCGCTCATAGTAAATGAACATGAAGAGAAGATAAAAACTTAGAAAGTAATGCACCATGCTGTCTTTACAAGTTCAGCGAAAAAAAGTTTACAGCAACATATGACATCTCCCTCAGTTGTACGTCCAAAACAACCAATTAACGTCATAAATATTCATTATTAGAGTTCAGTTCTTCTGAACTGACAAAGAATAAAAAGTGACGTATTAAAAATGAGGAATTTCAAGGGCTAGCGCTTATTTTTAGGTACCTCATTTAAATAAATCTAACAGGCAAGATAGGGATGGAAAGCATAGGTGATTTTAGTTTTAGCAAATAGGACGTAAACTAAAGCAAATTGTACAAAAAGACAATCTGCAGCTGGCAGGAACTGAAAGTGCGACCTCGAACAGCGCGTCTGATGCTGTACCTACTCAACTACAGAGACAGTTCTTACCCCTGTCCACGTTATGGGGTATATATGCGAATTTCAACCTCTGAGTGTGAGGTCAGCGACGCTATAGTAGCAGACATAACCGTGAGCGTGGAACACTCCTTGTCTGCCCGTTAAAGTCACGAAGCACGTGATCGCTTCAAAAGCTGGAACCTGGAGAATATTTGCGCGTATACTACTATAAAGCACCGAGTCTTCTAGAACGATACTGTCACCATCAATCAACGAAGGAAAGGGGAATATAAAGAGCACATTTTTGTTTTCTGTTGATTCTTAATTTTGATATGTCCAGACACAACCTTACATAAATTCTGCTGTATTTCGTAACCCGCAAATGAATTGATGGGAGAAAAAAATGCTCGACCACAGGAAAGACCATGAAATGAACTCATCTGTTTACTAGTTTCCGCTTGGCAATAACGCACGCAATTTAGAGAGTGCACACTCATATGCGTCGTGACTCTTGTGCCCAATGTGGGCTGGTGAAAATAATTTTAACTTAGGACACATTCCAGACTGCTTGCCATTATTTCGGGCTCTCAAGTGGAAGTCACGCTTCAAGTGGAAGCCATGATTCCGCGAAGAACATGAAGCTCACCAGTTGCTGCCGACGTTAATGTGAATGTCTCAAAACACAAAGACACCTTGTTCACACAGTAGACAATGGACGTTTCCGATGAGCACAGGTTCTATATCTCTCCACATCGCTACATCTATCCAACTCGCATCTATCCTACATATATCCACCTCACAAAATCAGACCGTTTCAAAAGCACGAAAAATCTTCTTGAAGCATGCTTCGAAATAAATTGATTTGCTCTGTACCGGAGATCTGTCGAATTTTCGAAGAGAAGCTGTATACGGAAGGTCCTTCTATTTCTTACGGAGTAGCATGAAAGTACCTCAGAAGTTAGAGGGAATAATATTACTCAACAAGGCAAGAAATTCAGGCTAGTTGATATGCATTCATTGTTAATGGACAGCGTGCGTTGACTACGTGAACAAAGAGAGAAGAACATGACACCGAGGCATGAATAGCAGGGACTGCGGGTACTCCGCGGATTTCACAAGTACCGCACTGTTGTTCCGTCGCTCGAACAAGATTACGAGAGACATTTGTAAGAATTTTCATATGAAAACAGAAGGTCACAGATATGTGAGCCAGGCCTTATAAGGAAGTGTCTCTTCTGGGGTACACTACCTAGCACTTTGCAAGTTTCAGGAGATATGTTTTGTCACCTCGCTCTGTTGTCAGGCTTTGCAGTGTGACTTATATCAATCAGTAAGGTTTTCTGCGCAATGACGCATATGTCGTACTCTCTATGTGACTTGCTTTCGTTTTACGTCATTATTTTTTGTTGAGTGTAAGTGCTGTTGCCAACTTTTTTTCTCTTTGTCATCGTATTCGGTGCGCGTTCTCCAGTTACGACTTGCTTATTACCGCTAGCCCCCTGAAACGAACAAAAGAACGAGTGCAACTTGCGTATCACAAAAAAAAGACAATGTAGGTGACGCCCAAAAAGAGCATGCTGCTCAAATCTAAGATTTTAAATCAGCGTGCGATAACACCAAGATGGACTGTGTGGACAGGTCTTTCGGATTTAGATAGATGGTTAGTGATTGTCTCAGATTCAAAATTCTTTGCCGGTTATGTGGGCTGTTCTAAAGAAGTGTTTCGCTGGTCACTCATCCTCATGTAGCCAAATGGCTCATTAATTTACCGTCCTCCTCAAACTGCGTGAATTGTGAGAAAATCATTGCGGCGAATCCTCTAAAAACAAACTGCTCTTAAAAGGTTAGTGTGCTTAGGCCAAGTAATATACTGTGAAGTTACATACATCCATAGAGCTTCACTTCCACTGAATTCAATGATCATCGCGTTTTAAGTCGTTGCCCTCAGTCGACATCCTGTTTTGATGGTTATCCAACGTGTGGCACAAACAAATGAACCCATCTTTCAGAAGTTTTATCATTTTGTATGCATGAAAACGATATTGTTATGCTGTCTTTTTCAAAACTGTGTACATGTGTGAATGCGTTCCGGAGAGATCAGGCCGAGGAGATAATGAGGAGCTAAAGGGAAAACTGTTTGACCTATTTATCAAATCGCTTTATCTGATTCAGCGCGGCCGTAAATGTGAACAACTATACCCATAACTGAGCTGTTTGCCCTTTTCTAAGCAATAAAGGCATTTTTCATGGCACCCACGCTCTCTCATATTGACAA